ATATATATATATATATATATATATATATATATATAGTAGTTTGTCAATCCATCCAAATTTGTGTATGATATGCAACATTAGGAGGACGCATGCCATCTTCATATCTATCCACGTAAAGTTTAAGCTAGAGATTAATAGCAGTGAGCAATTCGATCTACTCTTGTCCTTCCCTGTAACTCCATTCAGACTATGAGAGCAGGCCATGCATGCAGACAGCAATAAATCTCCTACCATCTCATGCCTTTGTATCACAAGGAAGGAAATCTCCCTTCACAGAATAGGGAATAGGGGAGACGAGAAGGAAGAGGATTCACTACGTCAAGAAGCTGTGACTTTTATTATCTTCTTAATCCCTGTTGGCCTCAAAAGATGAAAGAGTAGAATTCTTGGTGAACAAATAGTTATTGCTGAATGGTACCTTAATGTCGCTGCCAACTTGTTCATTTGGCACCACAGGGACAGGAACAGTTTCTCTGCAAAGCTATAAGGAACCATCTTGATCAAGTGGTAAGCATAGTAAAGCAACATGATGAACTTTTCATTAGAAAGAATGGAGTAAGAATGTTTCTCACTTTCCTCAATTAGTGACCACAGTTGGAAGCACTATTTAATAAAGAAGAAGGTGATAGAGATGTAGTGTTGAAGAGATGTTGCAACAGTTGGCAGAAGTTCCCAAGTGATCTTATGGCCAATCCATAAACAAGACGCTTCTCCATCCCCAACATTGCTCCTGATCATCTACATCTGCAACTGAAAACCTCAGTTAGTATTGGAGGCAGTCTTTGATTTAGCTGTAACCAATGCTTGCTTACATTACAGCTGAACGCAAAAAAAAAAGAAGAGAAAATTGATACATAACATCTTCCTTGGCCATCAAGTTCTAAAAGTGCAATTCTATATTCTGAAGTGATGGATAAGGAACATGTCATCCATCCAAAGAGAGAGCCTTGTAGCTGGGTGTCGTCCTTTGCAATTGCTTATGACCAAAACGCCCAACATTTATTAAGCATATAGCAAAATGTACACTTCCTAAACATGCATACAGAACTGGAGTGCCACTTGACAAGGGCAGAAACAAATGTTTGACATGGATCATTCTACTCACCAAAATCCTAAAGTCAAGGGACAATAACATAATCTTCAACACTATTTAAAGTACTTCAGTCCCTCTGAGCAACTTAGTGATCCAAAAGACAAACTCACCCATGGAATGGTGTCTCAAGACAACTTCTTTAACTGGTTAACATAGACCAGTGAGATTTTGTACAGAATAATAGAGGTAATTGTTAGGTGCAGTCGCAAGAAGAAGATCTGCAAAATGTGACAAATGCTGAAGTAGATCTCGTGTGGCCACAAAGAATTTGATTCAAGCGCAAAAACTACCTCTTCAAAAGTATAAAGTTTATTGCTATCAGTAAGACAAGTGCATGAAGTGGTTAGCATCGACCAAGTTTGCAATCTAAGTTTCACAGGTACCACCATGTCAATATGAAAAATAAAAATTGCAGGACCAGATCATTTGTGTCAATCTCGATTGGTTCCATGTGACTTCCATTCAAAAAATACTTATTTTTTGTTAGAAGAAATCAGAAGATGGGATCAACAAGATGTTATATTATGCAGCAAGGTGATAATGTGTCATGAAAAGATGTAATCTATTTTCACAAATTGGTGGATTAGATCTCCTAATAGATTGAGATAAATTTAGCAGACAAATCATATGATTCATAACAATCATCTGAAGAAATAGGAAGTGGTCTTAACATCATAAGTGAGCAATGCTTGCTCTATTTTCACAAGGAAAATAGATGAAGACAGAGAAATGGTAAAGAGACCAACCTAGTAGGAGCCTGACTGAAATAAATTCATGAAAAAGTCATGCATATAGAAAAGAAATATGTTTTCAGGCAAAATTAGCACAAAATGAATTCATAGCATAAGAATTGCCCTTAAAAGTGATTACAATCAGAGAGAAGTCACATTGGCTTAATATATTAACAGGCCATAATTGTTCATAGTATCAGTTAAGAAAAGATAAATTCAGTTTGTTATGTTGTGCTCAGTTGCAAAAAGTCACTTCTGGTAGCTCAACCAAGACCTTTCTTTAAGAATATGATAAACCTTGACTCAATTCTTCTGAAACTTTTAAGATAAATAATAGGGCCTGGTATTTTTTTGCCATGATACTGTAATTTGTGTGGCAAAGACATGGTCCCTTGCTTCTTCAAGCCCCTAATCCAAGCTTTGTCAAACTAACCCTAAACAAGAACCGAAAAGAATGGAGTATTGTTCATCTGAATTCTGAACAATATCACTCTAAAATTAATTCTTCATACCTGCTTATTATCTAATTGTATGGTTCTATGGCATTGCATGATGTAATTTGGAATAATAGGTGTCCATGCGATGTACTTTAAGTTCATGATACTAATTAACGTTTCTGATAATGAAGTTGCATGCCATTCTTTATTAGATCAGTCGTTTTAGCATATCTGCAAAACGACCTTAATTTATCAAACTGCTGCTGGTAACGATCTATTATCATTATACGGTTCTATTTATCAAACAACCTTATTATCTGATTGTATGGTTCTATGGCATCGCATGATGTAAATTGGAATAATAGGTGTCCATGCGATGTACTTTAAGTTCATGATACTAATTAACGTTTCTGATAATGAAGTTGCACGCCGTTCTTTATTAGATCACATGTCTTAGCATATCTGCAAAACGACCTTAATTTATCAAACTGCTGCTGGTAAAGATATATTATCATTATACAGTTCTATTTATCAAACAACCTTATTATCTAATTGTATGGTTCTATGGCATCGCATGATGTAAATTGGAATAATAGGTGTCCATGTGATGTACTTTTAAGTTCATGATACTAATTAACGTTTCTGATATTGAAGTTGCAAGCCGTTCTTTATTAGATCACATGTTTTAGCATATCTGCAAAACAACCTTAATTTATCAAACTGCTGCTGGTAAAGATCTATTATCATTATACACTACATTTCCACTGCTAAAAAAATGGAACCTGCTTAAATCTGCAACCAAGCCATATCCTTTTTAGTACCGAACTAATTTACTCAAGGGCTGAAAACTGGAGACTACCATCGAAGAACTTATATGCATGCTTAACATTTAGAAGTCAGTAAGTAAACAAAATTCCTATAAGTTAAACCAGAAATGTAGTCCTATTCTTGTCGTGCCACTACTGGTTCAGGACTGGAACATTCAATAACGTTCTTTGAAATGACATAGGAGATGAAACTGTGGTAGGTTATTCACACGATCCAATATCAGACACAAATAAATCACCTCTAATGTAAACATAATTTTACAGAGATTACACTGTAAGAGATCAAATAATAATATCATTAAAAGGTATGAGTCGTATACACGAAGAAAACTATGAGAAAAAATCAGGAATCAGAGTAAAGTATTAATTAACAGTAGGGAAAAGAGTTCGGACCAATAAATAGGTGTTCAACCTCTCTACTTCAGGACATAAGACTCGACGATCCTCAACCATCTAAGGAGCTCCACTTTGTCCTTGTTGGTCATATACTCATGCAAGAACTCCGCGAGATCGTCGTCCACCCCCCGCTCCTCCAGATACGAGATCACCTGCCTCCGCACCTCCTGCTCCAAATTCCTGCCGAATCGGTCCCAACAGCATAATCACCGCAATATATGTAGAGGGAAAAGAGAGAAAAATCGAATCTTGGAATCAGAGGCGTACTTGAAGTTGCGACCAAAGTATGGGCGAAAGACAGCGACCTTCCGGTGCAGAGGGAAGAGCGTCTCAACGACGAGGGAATCGGGCCAAGCGGAGCAGATGAGTTCGAGGACGGAGTCGGAGGCCTCGCCCCGGGAGACCTCAACGATGAGGCTGATGTGGAGGCGGGGACCGCGCTCCAAAGCCTTCACCTTCTCGGCGATCGGGGCGGAGGGGACGGGCGCGGCGCCGTCGAACATGGTGACGTCGACCTTGACGTCCTCATCACCGTGCTTGCTCCGGAGGCGGATCCACTGCTCGCCGGGGCGGTCCTCGATGGAGAACGACCCGAAGCGCTGCGGCGGCTATGTAGAAGCGACAGAGAAACAGGTGAATCAGTCGGATCAAAGGATCAAAAAGGGAGAGCTACGCGACTGAAGAAAGAGGGACGGAATTGAGATACCGGGCGAGGGCGTAGGTAGTCGGAGAGGTAGGAGATCTCGTTGCGTAGGAGGCGGAGGAGGTTCTCGTCGAAGGCGGAGGGGTGGCTGCCGGGAACGGAGAGGAAGGAGCGGCGAAGAAGGGGTAAGGGTTTAAGGAAGCGAGCCATTTCGCGTGGGCGTCGGTGTTGGTTAGGGTGTGGGTTTTGTGCTGTGCGTTAGAGGCATTTTGACATATCTAGCCTTGTAGTTTATCTAATTATCATATTTACCCTTATTATTTTATGATACTATTTTTTTATTAACCGCCAATAAAATAAATAAATAAATCATTTGGAAATCATAATTACTAATAATAAAATCATTAATAATGTATATATGATTTAAATAGATTAAATCAATTTTATTATATTGAGGGGGAAAAAAAAGGGTTGTCACGGTAATATACAGAATGGCAAATTGGTGATATTAATTTGGGCCGTGTAAGGCCCGCCCACTGATGCAAGATGAATGGCAGCACACAGGGTCTCTGTGCTCCGGCAACCAATGGAGGATGCGCGAGGGTGCTTGAAATGGCAAACGACAGCTTGATTTCCGTTGCATGGGCTTTATTTGTTGGATTCTTTCGGTTCTTAGGCAACACAAGTGATCATAATTGGTTTCCATCCTTGGTCGCAGATCATTTACGTAGGCAGATTTATTCCTCTGTTCCTTCTCCTCCTCTTACCTCCCTGTTCTGTTCCCTGAAGGCATAGGACGAGAGAAGAAAGATGATCTACAGCCAGGCGATTCCTCCCAGGCACTCTTCGAGGTTGGCATTCATGTCTCCAGGTATGTACTGTGCTCATGTTCTCCTCTTCCTATCTTGGACAAGAAGAAGAGAAGTTTCAACAATGTTCAAACATTTTGTTCTGTATTACAGAGGGGATAGGAAGAAGAGGATTTGTGAGTCATGCACGAGGGACAGGTAAGAAGAGAGAGAGGGAGAGAGAGAGAGAGAGATCTTTCTCCAAATTTCTTCCTTTCTGGTGAGAAGAGAGACAGAGAAAGAGAGGAAGGTAGATTAACTAAGTTTTCTTTGGTTAAATTGCAGGTGGAGAGAGAGGAAGAACACTCGAAGCTAAGATAAAAAGGCATGCAGATCGTCCAATATACACATTCCCATGTAGATATTGGTCAAGCACGATTTCTAAAGCCCCTGTGTCAGAAACCCAGTACTCTCTCTCTCTCTCTCTCTTTCTCTCTCGCTCTCTGTGAACTGAGTTAATTATCTTTGATTCGAATACCAAATTGTTTTTGGATATATAGGAATTTGTTGCAGATTTTGCGTCCAAAATCTTTTCTGATCCCGAAATCAAAGGGATTATTGGACCTCCGACATATGTTAATCGGTATAATCTTGATCATGTTCTAATCTAAGCACTTCTCATGCTCATCAAGCCGATCAAATCCTGTTCAAAGTCCTCTCTGCTTCATAAAAGGATAATACAGACATCGCACAGCCATCATTCCTTATATATTTTCTTTATATGGATTCAACAGTCCTGATGTGTTCAAGCAATTCCTGCACCATGGTATGGAAAGGCAGAAATGTGTTGAATTGTTCTATAGAGATTCAAAAACAGGTTGTTGGTTACATCCAATTCTTACTCAATACAGAGTAAAGGTTATCACTCACAAAATCTTAGTTCATCATTCATAAATATATGCCATGAAAACAAGTTGGCTTATACAGAGATTCTCAAATCCTACAATTATTTGTACATTTTCTTAAAATATGTGTATATTTCACTATGACATTAGTAAAAAAGAACTCTAATTGCAGAACTCAGAGCTCCTGCGCAAACTTGATAATCAGATGTAGATCACAAGAACAATCAGCTAGTGCCCCCGACATCGGATCCAGGAGTTATGTCCACATTGGTGCGACAAAGAACAGCTTCACTTTTGCTGCTCTTAGCAATGCATGTGTACCTGAAAATGAGGCTGGTCAGTGTGAAGGCCTCTTGAATGCAGTTTCTAAGCATGTCGACGCCTTTTGTCGATTTTCTAGACCACATACTGTGATTGGCACGGTAAGCTGAAATTTGCTTTTATCATCTTCCTTATAGATGACTATTTAGGCTTCAAGAATCATAAAGATGTCTGCTTTTCATCTCCAGGTCATAGGTATAGTATCAGTCTCTCTTCTTCCAGTAGAAAGTATTGCTGATATATCTCTGATATTTTTTGATGGACTGCTGAAGGTAATCCAGGGGGTGTATCAGACTTCATCTTTGGTCACTAAATATAGTTGTCTCCTGATATTGTTGGTTTTTGGATAATTCAGGCATTGCTTCCAGCTATCTTCATGAATATTTATGTTGTGGGGCTGAATCAGTTGTTCGACATTGAAATCGATAAGGTCGAGCACAGATTTTGAAGATTTCTCAGTTTATTTAGAGCTTTTCTAGACTAATTTATTTTTGTCTAGCATAAAAATAATTGAACACCATATAATACTTTACGACTTACATATTCATTTACGTTCATCGATTCAGGTTAATAAACCAAGACTTCCGCTAGCTTCTGGGGAATTCTCCCTGGAAATTGGAATAGCCATAGTAGCTCTTTGCTGTGTCCTGGTATGCTATTTCCTAATATTTTATTTTAGCGGATTTTTCCTTGAAATTAAGCTATGAATATTCAAAAAATTCATAGAAGTACTAATTTGTGTTTTATTGTATCAAATTGACATACTTTTATAAAATTCATTCATTCTTAACAGAGTTTTGCTTTGGGAGTGAAGTCTCAGTCCCCTGCCATACTAAGTGCCTTGCTCATCAGCTTTTTCCTTGGAAGTGCATATTCCATCAATGTAAGATCTCAAATGATCAAAAATGCCAAAAAAAAAAGGATAAAATAACAATGTTATCATAAAGCTTGGTCCATTGACTGTTAAACTTAGTCAACTCTACTTAATATTCGAGACAATTAGACCGGCAGAGATTAGATACAGCATTCTATTTGCTGAATATTTTCGATGTTTTTGGAGTGATCTTGCATTGTACTGTGATGGCCTCCAGTAGTTACATGACCATAGGCATACTTAGTATTTGTTTTCTTCTTCTTATTTTGTATCTTCAGAATAAAATTCTTAACCGACATAGTAAAGATCGACTTCCTAGCAACCGGGAGTTGGAGTAGAACTGTAATCTAGGCTTTGAAGCTGCTAAATCTATGATTCCCTGCTTTCTGACTAACCATCTGATTTCTATCATTTACTTAGCTTCCATTTCTTAGATGGAAACAGCATGCCTTTCTTGCTGCTTCTTGCATTCTGTGTGTCAGGGCCATTGTGGTCCAGCTAGCCTTCTTCATACACATGCAGGTAATAAGCAGTCAATATTTACTTGTGTATAGAGTTTGAATTGTTCATCATGTACATGCTTTTAATTCATATGTTTACCTTGTTTAACTATTTCTGCAATAATTTCTCCAGAGATATGTATTAGGAAGGCCGATCGCTCTAACAAAATCAGTGGTCTTCGCGACGGCCTTCATGTGTTTCTTCTCAGCTGTCATAGCTTTGTTCAAGGTAATGCCATCATCTTCTCTTGGCATAGAAAGCTCAAGGTTTGCTAGTTTCCTATGGTTGAGCTTCTTGACTTCACTTGAGGTCAAATTGCTTACAGTAAGCAATATAACCATCAGATAAATTGACTCTACTTTGGAATCTATATAGTTTTGTGCAGCTAAAATTTTGCAAAGATCACTCTTTGACTCTCTTTTTTTTTTACCTAAGGAAAAAAAAATCTATCCTGGCATACTCTTTCTTGAACTCGAATTTCTTATCATCCAAGTTGTTAGAGTAGCTTTGGTGTCTGTATTAACCTGCAGGCTATACATTAATAGGATATCCCGGATGTCGATGGGGATAGAGATTTTGGCATCCATTCTTTCAGCGTTCGTCTGGGCCAAGAGAAAGTAAGTCGATGAACAAGCAATGGTTTGCTTGAAGATTCAGCACACTGTGTTCTAATGCTTCTAAAACAGGTGTTTTGGCTGTGCATCAAGTTACTTCTAACAGCATATACCACAGCCCTTGCGGTAGGAGCTTCATCATCAAACACATACCGGAAATTAGTGACTGTGAGTTCTGTAGCTCCCATTTCTATCTATCTATCATCACAAGGTTTGCTTTTCGTCGAGAAGTTTAAATATCGCCGATTTTTCGTATCGACGTAGGTGATTGGCCATGGTTTCCTTGCTTTCATCCTTTGGTTTCGCGCACAATCACTCGATGTCGAGAACAAGGTATCCGTTACCTCATTCTACATGTTCATCTGGAAGGCAAGTTGAGGACTCGTGCTTACTATGATTCGCATAGCATAGATCTCGTTAAGAAGTTCATCAGCAGAACCATCGTCGATCTAATGAGTTTTCGCAATTGCTTCTGCAGCTTTTCTATGCGGAATACTTGTTAATTCCTTTCATGCAGTAAGTATGGACCTCAGGAAGAAAACATATACAATGTTTGTAGCTCCTTATACATATACATAAGGAAGATGGTAGATCCCAAAACCGAAGCTTCGTTCGCTCCTAGTTTTCCTGCTATGCTGTGTACTGAAAAGGAATTGGTGTTCTTGCATACTTCCAACTATTCTGTGTGGATGTGCTGATCTCTGTCGGAAACAATAGTTTGCGGACAATGTGTTCACTTAATTGCCCATCCGTGGTTTTCTTCAAAGTGCACTTCGCTCTGATCGTTTGTCGCCATCGATTACTACGAGATATGCTTCTTTTCGGTCAGATTCCATCTTCGAGGCATTTCTACAAACACCATGAGCTCCTTCGTTTTAAGCAAAACAGGCAGAATAGATATCATAAACCCGTCGAAAATCCGCGGCGCTCACGGTCCACTCATGGCCCGGCGAAGCCACCGGAAGCCTTGTGTCGGCCTCATCACCACACCGCTCCTCCACCAGCGCTGCCTCCCGGTGCTTCCCTTCATTCCACAGGCTCTTCATGAGCAAAGTTTTGGTGGCTCGGTCCGGCCCGAGACCTGAGCTCGTCATTTCATCGAACAGCCTCAGCGCGAGAGCCGCCCTCTCCTGCTTGCAGTGGGCCTGGATCAGGATCTTGTACATGTAGGCATCGGGCGCCAGCCCGCACTGCCTCACCATCCCGAACAGCTTGTGCACGCTCCTCAGATCCCCTGCTCCGGCGAAGTGCTGCATCAAACCAGAGAAGGTCTGTATGTCGGGGAGAACGCCCTCCAACATCGTCTCTTCCAGGAGATCCAAGGCGTCGCTGCCTCTCTTACACTTGACCATGGCGCGGAGCAACGACGAGCAGAGCAGCAAGCGCTGCGACCCCGACAACGCGCCGCAGATCGAGTCCGCCTCGCGGTAGACCTCGAAGGCCGCGGTGGCTTTCTTCGACAGGCCGTGGAAGTCGATCACTAGTCGGACAGTGGCGAAAGGGAGCGAGATGCCCTCCGACCTGACCTTGGACAAGAGGCGGCCAACCAATTCGGCGTGACCATGCCGAGCGAGGATCGAGATCATCCTTGACACGGTCCGGCGGTCGTGCACGAAGTCGCCCGGCTGATGCGCCACCCAGCAGAAGAAGGCCCACGCCGTCTCGGCTTTCTTGAAGGCCCTCAAGAGTTTGCATACCAGCCGCGGGGTCCAAACCAGCCTCGCCGCCTCCAGTTCGGCTACCTCGTTAGGGTCCCAATCCTCCAGTGCTCTCGCGAGAGCGGTCGGTTCCAGCCAGGGCTTCAACCGGATTCGGTCGCCTTCGATGTCATCGTCTTTGTCGCGACTGTCTTCCTCCTCGCAACCTTCTTCATCACCAGAATCGGAAACGATGTCTGCGATTCGATCATTAGGGAACAGTTCTTGGACGAACTCTTCGGTACCCACGATATGCCCCGCCGCCCGCATCTTTGCCATGGCAGCCCGCATTGCAGGGCCTGGGAGAATTCCGTCGGAATTCATCTCCTTTACTAGCCGCCCGAGCTCATCGAACAGTCCGGCCGACGAGTACGCCTCGGCGAGCACCTCGTACTGCTTCGACGTGTGGGGGGTCCTCATAGACGGCAGGAGATGGAAGATCTCGGTGGCCGCGTCGAGATGCCCGGAGCGAACGAGGTGGCGGATGATGACGGTGTAGGTGCGGGAGTTGGGATTGGCTCCTTCCTGGATCATCTGGGAGAAGGTCGCGACGGCAGCGGAGTGGGCGCCGGCATCGGCGTGGAGGCTCATGACGAGGTTGTATGACTCGGTGGACGGGTGGCTGCGGCGGCGGGAATGGCGGTTGGGGTCGGCCGAGGAGCGGATGGAGGACCAGATTTGAAGGGCGGAGGGGAGGTCGCCGGCGGCTGCGAACCAGCGGAGACGGTCGAAGGGGGACGGGGGGATGGAGGAGGGGTACGAGCCGGCGTCGGCGGCGTCGAGGAGGGAGCGGAGGTCGGGGAGGCGGCGAGCGAGAGCAAGGCGCTTGGCGAGGGCGTGGAGGAGCGGGGTGGAGGGGGAGCGGAGGGAGCGGAAGAGGGAGAGAGCGGAGTCCGGCGAGGGGGCGGAGCGGAGGGCCTGGACAGCAACGAAGGAGTCAGGGGGGAGGGGAGGCGGAGAAGGGTCGGCCGAGCGTAGACGGAGTCGCAAGGCGTCGATGAGGCGGGCGCGGCGGAAGTAGAGGGCCACTCGGCCGCCTTCTGATGGTTCATCCGAGGAAGAAAAGGGGCGGCGAAGGATCGCAGCCGAAAAGGAGGTTAGGGTTATGGTCTGATGGGGTTGACACGAAGACAAGGGGCGGCGGAAGCAACGCATCGCTCCCACTCTCCGCTCTTTCATTGCCGGCGGCTAAGGATCTATTAATGGATTCATGCATAGTTGAGATCCACTGTCCTATGTGGTTCTATGCATACTAAATATTATTTTAGATTTTTAAGATAACATATTATATAATTATATTTTATATTAATTATTTATATTTAAAATATTAGTGATGGACTCATCGGTATAGAAACTCTAAAATAATATTTTATATATCTAAAATATTATTTTAGAGCTCATAAGTTTGTCAGGTCTCTCTTATTCTTAGAGATGTATTTTGAAGCTCACATGCTTCGAAAGGATAAAATCATGCGAGTACGTCCATCATCCAAAACAAATAATTCCTCACTTGGCTTACGGGCCACACCAATGACTGACCGACCAAATGATCCCTTATCACCTTTTAATCTATTTTGAATCTAACTAAAAAAAAAGACCTATAGGTACTTCCACTAAGATAAAATAAGAAAAATTATTTTTTTAAAAAAGATAAGTGATGAAAACAAAATTCTAAAGATAATATGTCAAATTTTATATCAGATAAGTTAATCAGTGCTTCCACAAATACTGTAATGCAATGCAGTACTTAGAAAACCAAGTTACAGTAAAGTAGTGCCAGCTAAAGATTAATTCACCCAAAGCAATGGAAAAGAAAGGAAGTGCCAATCTGAGGAGGAAGAACAGAAGATAGATTTACCAGAAAAAGATTCAATCATAAGTGCAGGTTGTGGAATAATTTTTTGGATAAAACATACACCTTTATTTTGATAAACAACAGAACAAAAAGAAGAGCAGGTAGAATACAATCCCAAACTAGAAGAATCGGATGCAGAGGAACCCAAAGACCATGAACTGGTTCTTGCCGGTGAGATATCCAAGGTTGCAGTAAAACAAAACTAGCCTGAAACTGTAACACGAAAAATACGGAAAAAAAAAAGAGTTAGTAACAAAAGATCAATATGTATAATGAGTGAACGTATTTGACATCGATAAACGTAAGAAGGGACTGAGATCAACTTAAAACTTCCAAGATATTTGACATACTGAGATTTATAAGGTTGCAATAAAACAAAACCAGCCTGTAACACGAAAAATACAGAAAAAAAAAGTTAGTAAAAAAAAAATCCGATAAGTAATATCTATAATGACTAATGAGTAAACATATTTGGACTGAGATTAAATTAAAAATCCAAGATATTTAATGTTGAATCTCAAATTTTAATGATGACATCAATCGGTGAATTAATGATCTAATCCATATGTTAGAGATAAGTGATGTAGGACTAACTACGATTGTGATGATAAAGGTAAAGTGATTAAAGAAGAATCGAAGTTGAGCCGGAGTCAATGATTAAGCATCAGGCCAGATGAATCGGGAGATACACCAAAGGATCGGACAATGCAGCGAAAGCTTGTCAGAAGATTGGAAACTTGTCGGAAGATCGGTAGGAGTTCGCCGAAAGATTGTCGGAAGTTCGCTAAAAGTCTCACCGAGAGTTCGAATGAATAATTGACATGATAGATAATAAAGATTACTTACGTTTTAATTGTTTATACCTTTAATTGTCATAGTTAGGGGTTCAATTTAAGTTAGATTTGAGAGAAATCTTACTAACTCAATTAGGAGCCAACTGTAAGCGCAAGATAGGACAGAGTTGGGCCAGATGGAAGACTCACTCAGCCACTTGGAGCCTTGCCAAACGGTGGAACCGCTTGAGGCTCAGTTTCCCAAGTGGTCTGGGCGATGGTACCGTCGGCAATTAATACTACCAGGTGATGAGAAAATCCTATCAGGCGGTGGTACCGCCAGAGCCTAGTCTTCGAGGCTCTATTAGATGATAGTACCGCTAGATTGGGTGGTGGTATCGCCTAGTGTCAGAGTGTCAAGCGGTAGTATCAGCTAATAATGGTGGTACCGCTAATACCTCGGAAATCCAGGAAGAAACACTTTTTTGACTCTAATTCTGAAACCTTTAGGGCCTATAAATATTACAAACTCGGTTTGCATTTCTTTTATGCTTTTCATTTATATTACAAACAGATTTACTTTTTTATTGCTTTCACTATGCTTACGAATACGCTTTCAAGTCAAGTATCTTTCCGATACATTTTCATCATACGAAGTTTTTTAAACCGACGTAATTTTCCGTAAGCAAATTCACACCTCCCTCTCTTAGTGTCGTATTGATCCTAACAATTGATATCAGAGCAAGGTTACTCTCAATTTGATTTAAAACATAAGAGAGATGGCTTTTGTCGACAATCATGAGGGTCATTCTATCATACATCCTCCCATGTTCAATAGAACGGATTACACTTATTGGAAAACTAGAATGAGGATTTTCTTAATTTCTATGGATTTCGAGTTATGGAATATCGTCGAAAATGGATTTCAAAAGTCTTCTCTTTCGATGAATGATTGAAATGATTTGGAGAAGAAGACTTTCTCTCTGAATGTCAAAGCTATGAATGCTTTATCTTGTGCTTTGGATAAAAATGAATTCAATCAAGTTTCTATTTGTGAAACGACTTATGATATTTGGCATACACTTGAAATCATGCACGAAGATACGAGAAGAGTTAAGGAGTCAAAAATCAACATAGTTATGAATTGTTTCGCTTGAAACCAAGCGAGACCATTGAATACATGTACACCCGATTTACGGATGTCGTCAATTGTCTAAAAGCACTTGGTAAA